TTCATGCCGATGCCCCCCATTTTCTGTGGCCGTTCGCTGTTCGCTACACTGCTCACCAGCTTAACTTGTGGCCACGCTCCCAGCGGCCGCAGGCTTCGCCGACCCTCCTTTGGACCGGGTCCCCCGGTGACGCGTCTGCGTTCCACGTCTGGGGTTGCCTTGCTCACGTTCATGCCTTTGGCACGGACAAGCTCACCGCCCGCACTGTCCCCTGTTTCTTCCTCGGTTTCCCCCTGGACTCGTCTGACTGGCTCTTCTACCACCCGCCATCTCACCGTTTCCTTCACTCTCATGACGTCACCTTTGACGAGTCTGTCTCCTTCTACCGTCGCTTCCCTCGCCGTGGTCTCCCGATTTCCCCCCCCTTGTTCATTGCTCCCTCTCCCCCGGTAGCCCCTGCTCCCCTCCCGCCTCGTCCTGCCCCGTCTGGTGTCTCGCATGTCACTCCCCTCCCGTCGGTTGTCCCCGTTGAGGAGTCTGCTGACTCTGGTGGTCCCCCCGGCCCGTCCTTTCCGCGTCTCCCTTCCCCGGTGTCTCCGCCTCCACTATCGCAGTCGCCGCCGCCGCCGCCGCCGCCGCTGCCGCTCTTGGCCTCTGGGGGTGCCGCTGGTGCTGGAGGGGGTTCTCGCTCTGGGGGTGTTGGTTCTGGGGGTGCTGCCGTTGAGTGTTCTCCCGGCGGTCGTCGTGCCCCTGCCGGTCCGCGGGTCGAGACCCAGCAGCCGCCGCAGCCGCTGCAGCCGTCGCCACCGGTCTCCGCTCTTCCCCTCCTCGGTCTTCCCTCCCCTGACCGCTCGCCGGTGTCTCCCCCACCACCTTCTCACCTCCCTGTCTATGGCCGTGTGTTCCCGCCCCCGGACACTTCTCCGGCCCGTCTTCCTCCTCGTTTCCCTTTTATGTCCCCTCCACTGTCTCCTGACCCTACACCTCCGTCCCACGTTTGGTCTCGGCGTCCCTCACGTGCTCGTCTCGTCTCCCCTGCCCTGGGCTCCCGCCCTATGTTGATCCGTTCTCACTCGTCTCGTCCTCCCCTCCTCCCCTCGCCTCCTCCCTCGTCGCTTGTTGTTGCACCTCCCCCGCTGTCTGACTACCTCCGTGCCGCTCGCCCCCTTGTCCATCGGGTCCTTGCCTCTCTTGTTACAGACCCGTCTGTTCCTGTCTCGCGCCTTGACGCACTTGTTGCTGCTGTCGCTGACTTCGCCTCTACCCAGCGCCTTGACTACGCTACCGCTCTGGTCTCTGACCCTGCCGGTCCTCCGTCCGTCGGGGGTGCACCTGCCCTTGGCACTGACGTTCTAGAGGACAGGCAGTACGAGCTTGCTTTTCTTTCTGATGCCGCTCCCCATCTCTGCTCCATGCTCCTAGTCCCAGAGGGTGACCCAGACGCCTTCAACATCCCGACCCCTCGCACCTACGCTGAGGCCACCTCGGGACCCTGGGCCTCTCAGTGGATAGCTGCCATGGAGCAGGAGATGGGATCTTGGAGGTCCACCGGCACTTACGTCGACACAGTTCCCCCTCCTGGGGTGAACGTAGTCGATGGTCGGTGGCTCTTCAAGGTAAAGCGCCCCCCTGGAGAGATGCATGTCTTCAAGGCGCACTACGTGGCTAAAGGCTTCAGCCAGTGCGAGGAGATGGACTTCTTACAGACCTTCGACCCAACCCCAAAGATGACTACTCTTCGGGCACTGCTACACATAGCAGCACTGCGCGACTACGAGCTTCACTCCCTCGACTTCTCTACTGCCTTTCTTTAGGGCAGCCTACACGAGCAGGTCTACCTGCATCGACCACAGGGCTTCACTGATACCTTCCCCCCTGGGACTCGGTGGCTTCTCAGGCGCCCGGTCTATGGCCTGCGACGGGCTCCCCGCGAGTGGCACGATACGCTGCATGCCACGCTAGCAAACCTGCAGTTCTTTCCGTCCTCTGCTGACCCCTCGCATTTTGTGCGTTCGAGCCAGACTCCGTTCTACATCCTTGCCTACGTAGACAACCTGGTCTTTGCTACTGCTGACAGGGACGCACTGGCCTCCGTGAAGGCAGAGCTGCTGAAGAGACACACCTGCACTGACCTTAGAGAGTTGCGTCGTTATCTTGGCCTGCAGATCTCCAGGGATAGAGCAGCACGCACCATCACTCTGACACAGTCACACTTGGTGCGCTAGGTCCTTCAGAGGTTCGGTCTTCAGTTCTCCTTCGCACAGCCCACACCTCTACATGTAGACCATGGGCTCTCCGCTCCCGTTCCTGAGGAGCCAGTAGAGCCCAGTGGCCCCTACGCAGAGCTGGTGGGTTGCCTCATGTACCTGATGTCTTGCACTCGTCCAGATCTCGCATACCCTCTCAGCATCCTGGCTTGCTTTGTGGCCACCGGCATACACCGACCACAGCACTGGTCGGCCGCTAAGAGGGTTTTGCGTTATATAGCAAGTACATCGGGCATGGGGTTAGTGCTTGGAGGACGCAGTCCGGTGGTTCTCACTGGGCACACAGACGTTTCTTGGGCAGACGACTGTGAGACTCTCATGTCGTCTCAGGGCTACTGTTTTAGCCTTGGTTCGGGTGCTATCTCTTGGAGATCCACTCGCTCGTCGTCTGTTGCTCAGTCCAGCTGTGAGGCTGAGATCTACGCCGGTGCCATGGCGGCACAGGAGCTCCGCTAGCTTACCTTCTTGCTAACAGACTTAGGTGAGCGGCCTAGCTCTGCCCCGGTCCTGTACGCTGACAACAGGGCCATGATTCTCCTGTGTCAGGAGCCTTGGCTTGAAGGCCGAGCGAAGCATATCCAGCTGCGGTACTTCCTCCTGCGCGAGCTACAGCAGCGTCGCCAGGCCCGCGTAGTTCACTTTACGAAGGCGCTTGCGCCTAAAGATCATCAGCGGCAGTGTGTGCAGCTTGGTCTTGTTCCTGTAGCTACTCACTTGTTAGGACCGTGATTGTGTACTCTCTACTATATATACCTTTCTGACTGGCCTTGTGGCCTTGCCTCTAGTGGCTGAACTAGTAGTGCTGCCCTGGTTTGCTTTAGTCTTGTTTGTACTCTTGCTGACTGGTCTCCGGACCCCTGCCTCAGTGGACTACTAGTATTGCCACTCTGAGCTGTGTGCTTCTTGCTTAGCACCACCCCTTGTCTAGCCTAGGGGGTGTATCAACTTATGCATATGCTGTATGTAGAAGTTATAGGCCAGCCTAGGTGTGTGCTTCTAGTGAGTACAACCCCTGCAGGTATGTGTTCTATATTTCTCACACTAGTTATCATTCTTGCATTCTAGCAGACAAGGCTTGTTTTGTCGGGCAAAAAAAAAAAGCCTGACTAATCAGGTACATTTTTTAGGTTTCTGATCCTTAGTTCGGATTGGACTTCACTGCGTTAACATTGTCACACTACCAGCGTGATTTTGGCCAAGGACTAGTCACGTCCCTCACGCCTGCTCCAACTCGCGTCAGACTACCTGCGTGATTTTGGCGAAGGACCAATCACGCCCCTCACATTTATTCCAACTCGCGTTACCTGCGTCATTTTGCCCAAGGTCCAGTCACGCCCCCTACACCTGCTCGAGCTCGCGTCAAACTGTCTGCGTGATTTTGGCCAAGGACCAATCACGCCCCACATCTGCTCCAGCTTGCGTCACCTACGTCATTTTGGCGAAGGACTAGTCATGCCCCTCACAGCTGCTCCAACTCACCTCGACCAGTCAGAGAGGATTATGTTTCAGTCTGGAAATCCGTTAAGGCTGATGATTCACGGTGACCATGTTGTAAACTGAACTAGCAAGAAAGGAGAAGGCCGCCATGAAATGGCGGCCGAGGTTTAGCTAGGGAGATTGACGAGAGAGAAGATGATCGATTAGGAAGTGAGAGGAGTACAAGGAGGGGATTGTACCCTCTCCAGTAAGGTTCAGTAACAACTACCAAGCCTATCAATTACATATAACTTATATAATCTTAACAACCAAAACAAGAAAATACAAGATTCCAGGGCTTCTAAAATGAGAACCCCTAAAAATCAGGCCTAGGAAAAATCAAAAGCTGAAAAAGCAGGACGACCCTAAAAAAACACCCTGATATACAGCATTTCATGCATTTTGTCCTGACTTCTGAAGCCCTGCCCCGAACCCATTTTGACCCCATCACCTTCGGGACTATCGAGCCCTTGACTGGTCCAACCCTGGTCAACTCGCACGATATAACCCCTAGGCGTCATTTCTATCGTGATTCTGTAATCACTTTCCCCTATAGTATTCTGCGCTATACTGAGTTGTAATTCATAACAACGCTACTCTGGTGAAACACTCATCACATTGGTGGTCGGTCTAGATCACCTCGTGTCTGTAAGTGGTGGAGGAGCCATCTGGTCAGGTTCCTTCGAAGTTGGGAGGAGCAAGGCAGAGAACACTTTGTTGTTTAGGTTGCCACGTGGGATGAGGCTTTTTGTCGGTGTCCTCACACTTTGCACGAAGAGCTTCCCTGGTTTTAATTTGCGATGCGTCATCAAAATCGCTCGCGCCATTTTTTTCACAGCAGCCTTTCGTGCGACGTGAGCGAATGACGATTCACGATCCCCGATGTCGTTGGAGGAGGTAGGCTGGTATCCACGAGACTGGTCGCGATGGTCGCGAAACTAGTCGAGCTCTCAGCGCAAATGCCTTTTTGTGACTGGCTGGCGTGTGTTGCGGAGGGGCGACTTTCAGCCATCAATTCCACCTCACCCTTGCATAGCCAAGGCACGAATATTTCCGCGGCGCGGCTGTTGGAGTGGTTTGAACATGGGGAGTCGCGTGGATTGTCGTGTTGGCGTCGCAGGTGAAAGAGGGGCGATTTACGTGTTGGATGGTGAATCTTGACATCGCAAGGGAGAAGCAGAACTGGTCTACTGTATCTGTTGGGTGAGGAAAGCGAAGTGAGATGGTCAAAGACACTGCGCAGGAAAGCCTTCACACCACCCAACTGTCACTAGCTCTGTCAGGGATGTCTCTCTGAGCAGCTAATACACACCATAAGACGATGTTGCGTTCCCTTTTATACTTACTGCCAGTCGTCCGTAGATTAAAACAAGGTGGGGTCTTGGTATCCCAGGTATGCAAGGTAAGGTGGGTCTCCGCTTACTAACAGACTCGTTTAGCGGCTAGCAAGCATCCATGGAACGCACTACCCAGTAGCCAGTCCAACGAGGAAAGCAGCTTCGTTTGCCTCGTACGTCGTCACCTAGGGAGTCGAGGCAGCTAGATACTACGTTGTAAAACAGGTCAGGTGGAACGACGGCAGTCGGTAGGTTCGGAAATGGCAGGTAATCGAGTCATTCACGCTCACCGTTGGTCACGTTGTACGTGTCGAAAGGTCCGGTTTACGCCGTGTTGCGGTAGCATCTCTTCGTGTTTCGTTGTCCCACTCGCCCTTTTCGTAATCGCAGCTCTTTCGCTTTGTCAGAACTGCATCGCAGCACAGAGATTACCGCACGGTGCCTCCGTCAGCGCGTCCATACCCGAACCGTCACACCAGGAGCGCGCTCACTCGATTAGCTCCCACGCTGAAGACAACCACAGGGGCCGCGAGCTCGGGTACTCATGGCCGTTCAGTTTCTTTAGTACCTCCAGTAACGCGCAGGACGCGTCGCAGACGAGTCGCAGGAGCTATATTCAGCGCTGTGACTCTCGCACTGGAGTGGGGTGCACGCCGGGCGATCACCACTACGTGAACCCGCGATTCGGCAACAGGCTAAAGAACGCGTCGACCTCCGAATCGGGCCTGTTCCACACAGCAGAAGCAGTCGAAGCAGGCGCTTTGGGGTCCCGATCCGTGTCGCGCGCGCAGACGATCGACACGCTGGTCGTCGCGTCCTACTCGGCGCGCAGCATCAGCCAGCTGCAGGCGCTGCTCCGCGCGTGGACGGCGTCGCTACAGCTCGCACGGCAGAAGGTACCGTCCGTCGTCCCCGACTGCCGGCCACCGCTGACGGATGCAATTCAGCGGAGCAACGCAGTATCGGGGCACCTTTCGCGCAGGAACTTGTACCTGGCGCGGAAAGAGGTTGCGCTGGTGGCGCGCGCCGTGGCGATCTGCCAGAGCAAGCTGGGCGTGGCGATCCGCGCGAAGAAGTCGACGAGCAGCGATCGCGAGGCGTACACCGTGGGCTTTCGCGAGCTCGAGAACACGATGATCCGCGTCAGCGGCGGGGGCACCGTGCTGCAGAAGCAGATCGCCGCCGACACGCGCAGCGGACGGCTCTCCGTGACGGCCGTCGGTTCGATGTCCGATCGGACGGTGGATCTGTTTCCTGACTACGGCGCGAACCTGGTGCGGCAGCTGCCGGGCAGCGTGACAACGCTGACGTTCAACGGCACGCTCGGAGCGCGGATCCACTCGGCGTTCACGTACCCGTCGGGCGTGTTCACAGCGAAGCTCATGTGCCCAAAGGGCGACACGCGCGGCCTCGACGTCACCTTCTACGTAAGCCGCCGCGCGGATGCGTCCGCCATTGTGCGCTGGCCCTACACTGTTCGTCTTGGGCGCGGAAACGACGCGCTTATTGCTGCTCTACGCGCATTGTGGCAATCGGCACGTTGTTTCTCCTTGCTGCTCTACGCGCCAATTGTGTCCCATCGCCTCAATCCCCCTCGTGCTTCCCTGCCCTTCCTCCTCCCTAAACAGCTGTCCTCGATAGAAGGCGGCCCCGGGACGGACTCGATACTGATGAGCATATTCGGGAGCGACCGCACGCGCGTGCGGTGCATGACGCTGGTGGACGGCGAGACGGGGCTGACGCACGAGGTGGAGGTGGGCAGCGACTGCGCCGCGGGCTACCACACCATCAGCATCATGTGGTCCGGCCGCCTCATCGTGTACGCCGCACGGGACCGGGGGGGGGGGGGGGGGTGTTATGGGTGTGGGAGAGGAGAAGGGGCGGGGGGGGGGGTGCTTGCGGGGAGTGGGGCAGAGAGACCGGAAGGGTTGAAAGTGGGTGTAGGGTGGAGCGGAGAGGCGCGTATTGCAATCGTTCGCTTTCTTCAGCGATTCCCTTTGCCCTTTTTCCCCGATTTCTCTCTGTTTCCCCATTTCCCGATCCTTCCCTCGTTCCCCCCCCAGGTGGAAGTACGACGACCTGATTCTGCGCGTGTCGTCGCGCAACATGCTGTCGCCCTTCCCCGTCTCCACCACCATGTACCTCTACGCGTCCGTCTACGACACTGCCAAGTATCCCTACGCCTGGCAGGCCGGCTACCTCACCAACGCCGACGCGCCCTACCTAGTCTCTTATAAAGACACCTCCGCAGTCGTCCCCGCGCCGTCGTACAACTTCGGCCTCCCGCTCGACCTCGCCAATGGCGCCTCGGTCCCCGGGTCGTCGATAGGGCGCGGGCCGCTGTGGCCCGTGGCGATAGACTACTGCTCGGACCACGTGGTGACTCTAAAGGGGTATCAGAGTATCACGTTCGACGACAAGGGGTGCGGCGGGCGCTTCCACTCGACGGTGCGGCACTACTCGGGCACGTTCACGGCGTTCGTGCAGTGCCCCGCGGGGAACACGTCCGGCCTCGTGTCCGCCTTCTATGTGAGTGCCGCCTGCTGCTCTGCTGCTGGGCAAGGGCTGTGCGCGTCTCGCTTCTTAGTCTGCGTGGTTTGCTGAAGGGAGGACGACGCAAGACGAGCGCAGTAGGTGAAGAGAGGGAGAGTCTGAGAATCTGAGAGTACGAGAGTATGCGTGTACGTACAGTCTCTCTAAATGCAGCCCCTCGCGCATTGCGTAACACCCATGTAATCTTGTGTCTCGCGTGTGCGCAGCTGTCGTCGGAGGAGGGCAACAAGGAGCAGGACGAGATCGACTTTGAGTGGCTGGGGAAGGACAAGGGCGCCGTGCAGACCAACTTCTACGTCAACGGCAAGGGCGGCCGCGAGGTGCTCGTGCCACTGGGCTTCGACTGCTCCAAGGGCTTCCACAACTACACTCTCGTGTGGACCAACGACCGCCTGCAGTGAGTGGTCGCCGTGGGGGGAGCAGTGGACTGCTGCTGCTGCCTTTGTGCTCCTGCGCAAACGGATTTCAGGCTTTCCTCTCTCTCTTCCTTTCCCCTCTAACCTTCACTGTCTTCTCCTATCTCACCCCCTCCCTCCCCCTCCACAGGTGGTTCATCGACACCAAGATGGTGCGCGACGTGCGGCGTGCGCAGGCGGACGCGTGGCCCGTGAAGCCCATGTTCGCATACGCCTCCATGTGGAACGCGTCGAGCATCTCCAATGGCTGGTGGAGCGGCACGTGGAGTGGGAAGGACATCCCCTACGTCATCAAGTTTAAAGACATCCGAATAGGGAACGCGTGATTCCGCAGTCGCGCCGATGCCGCTGGTTACGGGCAGTTGCGGCCTGCTGGCCGCATGAGTCGAGAGGAGTAGCCGGCTGGCGTCTTCAGTGGGGTCCAGGCTACCAAGTTTCTTCTGCGTATATGCCGCTGTATACGGGTGGTTGCATCCGTGTATGACTGGGCATGCATGCCCAGGTGCAGGTGATACCCACATTTACAGGGCTCCGTATCGCCTCTCTCCACCTCCATTCTTTTGTTGGCCATCAGAGCACCAGGCCGACATGGACTAACAGGGGCTCTAATGATTCGAGACGGAGTCATAGTGGTTTTGTAATAAGCTCCCTCTTGCTAGGGAAATTATTTTTAGGTAAATGGATTGGCTCAAGTAACTCTATGTGCAAGAGGACTTTTGGTCCTTAGAAATGTATGATATCTATTATATCAGACGTCCTAAAATGTTCTGGAGGATTGTAGTGGAAGACAGATTCTGAATATGAAATTCCATGAGGTAGGTTGGGTGTGTGCGCCTTATGTGGAGGCTGAAAATACCAACCATATGTACCATGCAAAATATGGCAAAAAAGAAAAAAAAGGCACCAAATCTGGAAGGAGGGTGGTTTGTAAAGAACCTCTCCCTACCTTCGCCTTCTTTCACTCACCCCTCCTAATTCCCCCCAACCTCGCCCCAGAATCTTCTTCCTCCACCTCAACCGCACCCGCCGCCTCACCCCTGCTGCCGACTCTCCTCACCCGCGTCCCTCGTCTAGCCCCGCGTTCCTCTCTTCCGTAATTCCCGCCCGCGCGCGAGCATCTATGGCGGTGTCAGCGGCGCAGCGCGTGGTGTCGCTTTTGCCGGCGGCGACGGAGGCGGTGTGTCTGGTGGGCGGGAAGGACCTGCTAGTGGCGCGCAGCCACAGCGACGACTTCCCGCCAGAGCTCGCGCTGCTGCCGGCCGTTACTGCCGCGCGCGTCACGCTCGGCAGCTCGAAAGGTGCGTCGCCACGAGAATTGCGCGGAGGTTGCTATCGACGACACAGTGCGATGATGATTGGACGACAGGACGGCGGAATTGGCGAGATGGAGGCAGGAGTTGGGCCTTTTCGTTGCAGCAATTCCGTGTTCGCAGTCACCGCCATGCCTTTTGGCGTTACTTTTGCTGCAATCACCGATCCGCACTTAGCATCCATGGCTCTCAATTCCATATTCCCCCTCGCTCATCCTCTCGCTCTCCCCCTCGCCCTCTCGCCCTCTCGCCCTCTCCCTCTCGCTCGTCCGCGGTCTCTCCTCTGCGGCAGACATCGACGACCAGGTGAACAGCCTCGTGGCATCAGCTCAGGAACTCTATGAGCTGAAGCGGGACATTCTACAGCGAGTCAAGCCCAGCGTGATTATAACGCAGGGGCTGTGCACCGTGTGTGCAATCAGTGACGACACTGTGCGGGCGGCAGCCAAGTGAGTGCTTGCAGCGAGTGCTTGCTTGCTCTGTGTGATTCCTTCCAGGACCTTATCCCTCTTCCCTGTGTCTCCCTCCTTCTGTCACTCCGTCCCCTCCCCCCACCACTACCTTGTCCGCTCCAGTCTCACTCCCTCATCTTTCTCCCCCAATCCGTGCTTACACCGCTGCCCCACAGGGAGCTGGAGCCGAGGCCGGAGGTGGTGAGTCTGTCGCCCATGTCTCTGGAGGACATTCTGAGCGACATTGAGAGGGTCGGCGCCTCCATTGGTGAGCTTCGTCCCTCCCACAGGGAGATTCTTGACAGCTTGGGACCAAGCAGTGTATTTTTCTCTTGTTGTTCAACGTGCTCGATACGAAACCTGCTAATTAAATGGTATTTTCCTCGAAAAACATTAGCTATTCGTCTCCTTCGTCTCCTCTACCCTAGTCGATTGACCTTCATCGCATCATCTCTCCACGCCCCAACCCTCTCGACCCCTATCCCCCCTTTCCGTACACTTTATTTCTTCTCTTTCCCACTCTATTTGTAAACTCCCCAAGGCCTGGAGCAAGCAGCGAAGGGGGCAGTGGCAGGGCTGAGAGCGCGGGTGGCAGCAGCAGCAGCCAGAGGAGCAGCAGTGGTGGAGAAGGCAGGGGGGGTGAGGCCGCGGGTATTGTTCATGGAGTGGACGGAGCCCATATTCATGGGCGGCCATTGGACGCCGCAGCTCATTCACATGGCAGGGGGGCAGCATCCCCTCAACCCACCAGACCAACCGTCAGGGTGAGCCTGCAGGGGAAGGATGGCGGATAGGGCTGCTGGACTGGGGGGCTGCTCTTGTTGGTTGGATGTTTGATGCATGGAAAGGGATGCACCATAATAGTTTTGTGCCCTTGCTTTGCTTTCCGGTTCTGCTGTGGTCATGATGTTCACTTGTTTTACTTTGTCCTCTCTCGCTCTTCCTTGCTTTGCAATTCCTCTTTAACTCGTCCCCTTCTCTTCTCGTCTATTTCATTTTCCTGGTCTCTCTTGGCTTCCAGTGCTGCAAAACCCTCCTTCCGCATACCACCAGAGGAGGTTGTTAAAATGGATCCAGATCTTATTATAGTGTGCCCATGCGGCTTTGATATCCCAACCACCCTGGTAAGACACTTCTTTGTCTCACATCATGTGATGCCTCCGCAGCTCCCATGTTATTTTCCGTGAAATTTCGACCCTATTTTTGTTACTGCAGTGATCGTTCCCTTCAGTGCTGCCTTTCCAGCCCCCCTCCATGTCGTCGTTCTTTACTCCCCTGCATTTCTGTTTTTTTTATCAGACTGAGCTCAAGTCTGTGGTGCAATGTGACTGGTGGAAGGGCCTGAGAGCGGTGCAGCAGGGCAAGGTGGTGCTGGTGGATGGGAATCAGATGTTCAACCGGTCAGGGCCTCGTGTGGTGGATGCTCTTGAGTGGCTTGTGGTCCTCTTTGAGGGGCATCCAGAAGCAGGCCCCAAAGATTTCCCATGGCAGTGGTGGAAGCCAGAGGAAGGACAGTGATGCTCATGGCTGGAAGGTAGGAGCATGTGGCAGGGTTCTGGTTGTTGCATAGCACGGTAGAATTCCGTTTCACTCTCCAGTGGTTACGTTGCGTTGCAACTAGCAGGATATCTGCATCTCAGTTGGAAATTGTGTAGAATGTTGTGTTAGAATACTAGAAAAAAAAATGAAATAAGGGAGAAACAAGAGACATAGTGTTGGGGTTGAACCCATTCAGAACATACACTTATCTAGCCTATAATTTCTACATAACATCATATGTATAAGTTGACACACCCCCTAGGCTAAATAAGGGGTAGTGCTGAGCAAGAAACACACAGCTCAAGGTGGCACGCACTACTACTAGTCCAACCTCTGAGGCAGGGGTCTGAAGACCAGTCAGCAAGAGTACTGTTGGAAATATCTCAAAGAACTTAAGCGTTTCTGAAGTGTAACACTACACTCGAGGAAGACTACAAGGGAGCACGCGATGTTAACGTAGAAACGAATGATTTACTAGAGGTGGAAACCTAGAACAAATACTAGTTGGTTGTACTCACTAGAAGCATACCTCAGTCTAGCCTATAACTTCTACATAGATAATATGTATAAGTTGACACACCCCCTAGGCTAGACAAGGGGTGAAACTAAACAAGAAGCAAACAGCTCAGGGCGGCACTACTAGTCCAACCACTGAGGCAGGGGTCTGGAGACCAGTCAGCAAGAATACAACCAAAACTGAAGCAAGCCAGGGTGGCACTACTAGTCCAGCCACTGGAGGTAAGGCCACAAGGCCAGTCTGACAAGCATGTATAATAGAGAGTACACAATCAGGATCCTAACAGGGGAGCAGCTATAGGAACAAGACCAAGCTGTACACAGTGCCGCTGATGATCTTTAGGCGCAAGCGCCTTAGTAAAGATATCAGCTGTGTTGGCACCTGAGGCCAAGTGAACTACGCGGGCCTGGCGGCGCTGCTGTAGCTCGCGCAGGAGGAAGTACCGCAGCTGGATATGCTTCGCTCTGCCCTCAAGCCGAGGCTCCTGACACAGGAGTATCATGGCCCTGTTGTCAGCGTACAGGACCGGGGCAGAGCTAGGCCGCTCACCTAAGTCTGTGAGCAAGAAGGTCAGCCAGCGGAGCTCCTGTGCCGCCATGGCACCAGCGTAGATCTCAGCCTCACAGCTAGACTGAGCCACAGACGACGAGCGAGTGGATCTCCAAGAGATAGCACCCGAACCAAGGCTGAAACAGTAGCCCTGCGACGACCTGAGCGTCTCAGCGTCGTCTGCCCAAGAAGCGTCTGTGTGCCCAGTAAGGACCACTGGCCTGCGTCCTCCTAGCACTAACCCCATGCCTGATGTACTAGCAAGATAACGCAAAACCCTCTTAGCGGCAGACCAGTGCTGAGGTCGGTGTCTGCCTGTAGCCACAAAGCGAGCCAGGATGCTGAGAGGGTATGCGAGATCTGGGCGAGTGCAAGTCATCAGGTACATGAGGCAACCCACCAGCTCTGCGTAGGGGCCACTGGGCTCTACTGGCTCCTCAGGAACGGGAGCAGAGAGCCCATGGTCTACGGGTAGAGGTGTGGGCTGTGCGGAGGAGAACTGAAGACCGAACCTCTGAAGGACCTGACGCACCAAGTGTGACTGGGTCAGAGTGATGGTGCGTGCTGCTCTGTCCCTAGAGATCTGCAGGCCAAGATAGCGACGCAGCTCTCCAAGGTCAGTGCAGGTGTGTCTCTTCAGCAGCTCAGCCTTCACAGAGGCCAGTGCGTCCCTGTCAGGAGTAGCGAAGACCAGGTCGTCTACGTAGACAAGGATGTAGAACGGAGTCTGGCCGGAACGCACAAACAGTGAAGGGTCAGCAGAGGACGGAAAGAACTGCAGGTCTGCTAACGTGGCACGTAGCGTGTCGTGCCACTCGCGGGGAGCCTGACGCAGGCCGTAGACCGGGCGCCTGAGAAGCCACTGGGTCCCAGGAGGGAAGGTACCAGTGAAGCCCTGTGGTCGGCGCAGGTAGACCTGCTCGTGTAGGCTGCCCTGAAGAAAGGCAGTAGAGAAGTCGAGAGAGTGAAGCTCGTAGTCACGCTGTGCTGCTACGTGTAGCAGCGCCCGAAGAGTGGTCATCTTCGGGGTCGGGGCGAAGGTCTGGAAGAAGTCAACCCCCTCGCGCTGACTGAAACCTCTGGCCACGTAGCGCGCCTTGAAGACAGGCGGCTCTCCAGGGGGGCGCTTCACCTTGAAGAGCCACCGACCATCGACTACGTTCACCCCAGGCGGGGGAACTGCGTCGACGTAAGTGCCGGTGGATCTCCAAGATGCCATCTCCTGCTCCATGGCAGCTATCCACTGAGAGGCCCAAGGTCCCGAGGTGGCCTCAGCGTAGGTGCGAGGGGTCGGGATGTCGAAGGCGTCTGGGTCACCCTCAGGGACTAACAGCATGGAGCAGAGATGGGGAGCAGCCTCGGAAAGGAAAGCCAGCTCGTACTGCCTGTCCTCTAGGACGTCACTGCCAAGGGCAGGAGCACCCCCGACGGACAGAGGACGGGCAGGGTCAGAGACCAGAGCGGTAGCGTAGTCAAGGCGGCGGGTAGAAGCGAAGTCAGCGACAGCAGCGACAAGCGCGTCAAGGCGCGAGACAGGAACAGCAGGGTCGGTAACAAGAGAGGCAAGGACCCGAGGGACAAGGGGACGAGCAGCACGGAGGTAGTCAGAGAACGGAGGAGGTGCAACAGCAAGGGACGAGGGAGGAGGGGACGGGAGGAGGGGAGGACGAGACGGGTGGGAACGGAGCAACATAGGGTGGGTGGGCAGGACAGGAGAGACGGGACGAGCACGGGAGGGACGGCGAGCCCAAACGTGAGACGGAGGGGTAGGGTCAGGGGACAGCGGAGGAGACACAGGAGGGGAACGAGGAGGAAGACGGGCCGGAGACGAGTCTGGCGGCGGGAACACAGGACCGTAGACAGGGAGGTCAGGAGGCGGTGGGGGAGACACCGGCGCGCGGTCCGGGGAGGGAAGGCCGAGCAGGCGGAGAGCGGAAACCGGCGGCGACGGCTGCTGTGGCGGCGACGACGGCTGGGCCGGAACTCTCGGACCAGCAGAGGCAGAACGACCGTCGGCAGAACACTCAACAGCAGCACCCCCAGAACCAACACCCCCAGAGCGAGAACCCCCTCCAACACCAGCGGCACCCCCAGAAGCCGCAGGACGAACACCCTCCTCCACACCAGCACCCCCAGGGGCCGAGAGCAGCGGCGGCAGTGGCGGCGACAGCGGCGACGGCTGCGGCGGCGACGGCGACGGCGGCGGCAGCGGGGTCGGCGACTGCGACAGTGGGGGCGGAGGCACTGGGGAAGGGGGACGCGGCAAGGACGGACCGGGGGTACCACCAGAGTCAGCAGACTCCTCAACGGGGACAACCGACGGGAGGGGAGTGACGTGGGAGACACCAGACGGGGCAGGACGAGGCGGGAGAGGGGCAGGGGCTACCGGGGGAGAGGGAGCAAGGAAAAGGGGGGGGGCAACTGGGAGACCTCGGTGAGGGAAGCGGCGGTAGAAGGAGACGGACTCGTCAAAGGTGACGTCACGAGAGTGGAGGAAGCGGTGAGACGGCGGGTGGTAGAAAAGCCAGTCAGACGAGTCCAGGGGGAAACCGAGGAAGACACAGGGGACAGTGCGGGCAGTGAGCTTGTCCGTGCCAGAGGCACGAACGTGAGCAAGGCAGCCCCAGACGTGGAACGCAGACGCGTCACCGGGGGACCCGGTCCAAAGGAGGGTCGGCGAAACCTGCGGCCGCTGGGAGCGTGGCCACAGGTTAAGCTGGTGAGCCGCGTAGCGAACAGCGAACGGCCACAGAAAATGGGGGGCATCGGCATGGATCATGGAGGTACGGGCGACCTCCATGACCAAGCCGATGCGGCGCTCAGCAACCCCATTCTGCTGTGGCGAGTCCGGCAACGTGTACGACTGGGTGATGCCCTCCGCACGACAGAACTGTCCAAGCCGACCAGAGGCGAACTCGCCGCCACGGTCGGAGTGGAGACACAACACGGGGAGACCGCGGTGGAGACGCGCAGCTACAACCCACGGGAGAAGAACGTCGGGCACGTCGGCCTTCCGCTCCAGGGGAAACACTGTGGTGTAGCGCGTGTAGTCGTCAACGAGCACAAGGAAGTAGCGCTCACCGCGCGGTCCGGGGACGGGGGCAGGGCCCCAAACGTCCAAGTGCAGGGTCTGAAGGGGGGCAGTAGCAGGACGCAGCGAGGAGGAGTGAGGAGCACGGCGGAGCCGACCCTCGACGCAAGGCGTGCACGGTGGCGCAGTCGAGGGAGGAAGGGCAGGGAGCGACGCGGGGAGACCTAAGACAAGACCGTGCTGGGACATGTGACGCAGACGCGGGAGAGCAGGGTGACCTAAGCGGTGGTGCCAGAGAAGGGAGGGGTGAGTGAGGGACCGACACGAGCAAGCTGCAGCGACCTGGGAGGACGCACCAACCGGGGGGAAGCGGTGTGTAGGGTAAACAGACCGGACACCGGGTCCCGGGGGAACGTCGCAAGGGGGGAACCGGAGACAGCCTCAGAACAGACAGCGAACCGCTCGTGCCCGGGGAACGTGGTGGTGACGCCGAGGTCCTGGAGACAGCCGACACCAACCAGGTTCCTGGAGAACGAGGGAACGTGGAGGCCAGTAAGGGAGCCCGAGGGAACTGCCGGACAGGGAAGGGACGTAGAACTGCGCGCGACGACCGGACCCGCAGAGGGGTCAGCGAGAGAGACAACAGCAGGTGCAGCAAGCGGCGTGAGCGTGGAACGGTCGCGGAAGAAGCAGGCAGAAGCACCAGAGTCAAGAGTGAAGGACAGCGACGCAGTGGCGGAGGCCGCGGACGGAGCCGGTGCAGCGACTAGACTAGGCAACCTAGGCAGTCCTACGCCTGTCGCAGCAGGGGAAGCTAAGCTACACAAGGGTGAAACACCTAAACTAGAGTACACATGGTAGTAAGATCCATCAACACTAGAAGCGTCAGCATACAAAGCATGCAAAGCAGCACCTATCTGATCCATGTCTAACTCAAAGATCGGCACGCCCTGGCGGAGCAGGCTGTGCCAGTCAGGGAGGTCCGGGGCCGGGCCAAAGCGACGACGAAAAAGATCGTCGAGGCGGCGGAAACAGTGGGCGGTCGGGTGCGGGCGGCGGCACAGAGTGCCGCGGAGAGGCCCGGTCTGAAGCTGGTACTGGCAGGTCACAGC